GGAAGTTTTAGCCACTGCAATCAGAGAAGAAAAAGAAATAAAAGGAATACAAATCAAAAAAGAAGAAGTAGAGCTGTCACTGTTTGCAGATGACATGATAGAATACATAGAGAATACTAAAGATGTCACAAGAAAACTGCTAGAGCTAATCAATGAATTTGGCAAAGTAGAAGGGTACAAAATTTATGCACAGAAACCTCTGGCATTCCTATACACTAATTATGAAAAATCTGAAAGAGAAATTAAGGAAACACTTCTGTTTATCATTGCAACAAAAAGAATAAAATACCTAGGAATAAACCTACCTAAGGAGACAAAAGACCTGTATGCAGGAATCTATAAGACACAGATGAAGGAAATTAAAGATGATACAAACAGATGGAGAGATATACCATGTTTTTAGAATGGAAGAATCAACATTGTGAAAATGACTATACTACCCAAAGCAATCTACAGATTCAATGCAATCCCTATCAAACTACAAAGGCATTTTTCACAAAAGTAGAAAAAAAATTTTTACAATTTCTATGGAAACACAAAAGACCTCAAATAGACAAAGCAATCTTGAGACAGAAAAACAGAGCTGGAAGAATCTGGCTCCCTGACTTCAGACTATACTATGAAGCTATAGTAATCAAGACAGTATGGTACTGGCACAAAAACAGAAATATAGATCAATGGAATAGGATAGAAAGCTCAGAGATAAACCCACACACATATGGTCACCTTACTTTTGATAAAGGATTCAAGAATATACAGTGGAGAAAAGATAGCCTCTTCAATAAGTGGTGCTGGGAAAATTGGACAGCTACATGTAAAAGAAAGAAATTACAACACTCCCTAACACCATACACAAAAATAAACTAAAAATGGATTAAAGACCTAAATGTAAGGCCAGACACTATAAAACTTTTAGATGAAAGCATAGGAAGAACACTCTATGGCATAAATCACAGCAAGATCCTTTTTGACCCATCTCCTAGAGAAATGGAAATAAAAACAAAATAAACAAATGGACCTAATGAAACTCAAAAGCTTTTGCACAGCAAAGGAAACCATAAACAAGACGAACAGACAACCCTCAGAATGGGAGAAAATATTTGCAAATAAAGCAACTGACAAAGGATTAATCTCCAAAATTACAAGGTCATGCAGCTCAATATCAAAAAAACAAACAACCCAATCGAAAAATAGGCAGAAGACCTAAATAGACATTTTTCCAAAGAAGATATACAGATTGCCAACAAACACATGAAAGGATGCTCAACATCACTAATCATTAGAGAAAGGCAAATCAAAACTACAGTAGGCATCACTTCACACCAGTCAGAATGGCCATCATCAAAAAATGTACAAACAGTAAATTCTGGAGAGGGTGTGGAGACAAGGGGACCCTCTTGTACTGTTGGTGGGAATGTAAATAGATATAGCCACTATGGAGAACAATATGGAGCTTCCTTAAAAAACTAAAAATAGAACTACTATATGACCCAGCAATCCCACTACTGGGCATACACCCTGAGAAAACCATAAGTCAAAAAGTGTCATGTACCACAATGTTCATTGCAGCTCTATTTACAATAGCCAGGAGATGGAAACAACCTAAGTGTCCATCGACAGATGAATGGTTAAAGAAGATGTGGTACATGTATACAATGGAATATTACTCAGCCATAAAAAGAAATGAAATTGAGTTATTTGTTGTGAGGTGGATGGACATAGTGTCTGTCATACAGAGTGAAGTAAGTCAGAAAGAAAAAAACAAATACTGCATGCTAACACATATTATGGAATCTAAAAAAAAAAAAAAGAAACATGTTTCTGATGAACCTAGGTTCAGGACAGGAATAAAGACACAGATTTAGAGAATGGACCTGAGGACATGGGGATGGGGAAGAGTAAGCTGGGATGAAGTGAGAAAGTGGCATGGACTTTTGTGTACTACCAAATATAAAGTACATAGCTAGTGGGAAGCAGGCGCATAGCACAGTGAGATCAGCTCAGTGTTTTTTGACCACCTAGAGTGGTGGGATAGGGAGGATGGGAGGGAGATGCAAGAGAGAGGAGTTATGGGGATATATGTATATGTATAGCTGATTCACTTTGTTATAAAGCAGAAACTAAGACACCATTGTAAAGCAGTTATACTCCAGTAAAGTCGTTAAATTTAAAAAAAAATAGAATGATGCTTCCTGGCCTATGCCATTTTGATGTAAAAGTTGTTGATTAATAAGTTTCAATTACTTGATTAAGCATTCGGTTACAAACTTTGCTTTTAGTACTCAGGGGCTATCTCCAGGCAACTTTTCAGTTCGTTATAAGTTCAAAAGTCTGCCTGGTTGTACCTTCTTATGCTATAGTAAATACATTTTTGTCTTGTCTCATCACCTTTGGTGTGTAACTTTTTGTAACAGAGAGTTTTGAAATCATATTTTATGGCAGTGAAGCTGCTAGGGGAAATTCATGGACTTAACAATCCTATCTCCTGTCATGTGGGACTGTCCCCAGGACAGGGGAGATCAGTGAATGTGAGCTGTTTCCGTTTGGCTCAACTGTCGGGCTAAAGAATTTTCCATTACATGGATGGGTGGTGAGATCAACTGAGTTTAGAACCATTCAATTTATTCTGTGGCAGCAGCAAAAGAGAACGCAGTAGTGACCAGAACTGAATTTGACTTAAGTTCTGATGAAGTAGCCATGCTGAGATCATAAATTGTTATTACTCAATTCATTATTTAAGGAGCTTTCAGCATTTATGCTTGTGAGCTGTCTTTTGTATCTGCCTCCATCGTAGATTCTGGCCACAATGAAGTGGTGGTTATAGCTCCATGTAGAGGCCAGTTGATAGTATATGCAGCTTCCCGGTTTCCTAGTATATTCATTTTTCCTCTCTTGCAAGGTCAATGAATAAGATCAGGGAAGGTCTGGGATTCACTTTTAAGTGCTCTGCTAGACTTCTTTCAATTCTGACAGTCTGCTGACACAGAAGTTGGGATATACACAAGAATAAACTGATTGAAAGAAAATATAAATAAGTCTATGTACCACCAAAATACTTGCAGAAGAACTCAAATTTTCTACAAATAATCTGAAAATACATAGGTTTATGGTGTACATAAACAGAGCTTTAAACTTGTTGTGTAGTCAGGAAAAGCTATGAAAAGAACTGGCAACTCCTTTTAATGAAAAGAATTTCCTACACTGGAAAATGGAGTTTATCATTCCAGAGGACAGTAAATTGTGATAAATTATAGATAGATTAACTTGACATTCTACAAAGAATCTTGTTTAAGGTAAAATGCATGAATTTAAAATTATACTAATACAAAAGAACAAAATTTTTATTTTACAGCATTAGATCATATTTGAAGAATATGTTGCATGGATAATATGTGAAATTTATTTTAACTGTTGGCATTTTTGTCATATAATACTAGATTACTTTTATAAAATTTTATAATAATCCCATACTGTCTAAAATGTCACATTAAGCCTCTAAAATATCAGTGTCATATAAGCAATAGATATCTAATGAATATTTTCATTGATGATGGAAATACGCCTTCCGAACAGGAATTTCCATTTCTTTTATGTGCAGATTTAGTGAACACACCTTATATATCCATAAGATTTCCCTATTTAATTTAATTAATTAAGGGCTCCCTTTTATTCTATAAAATGAGAATAATTGCGTCTAATTATCATTTTCAATGATAATTTCAATGATAATTTCAATGATAATTCAATTTCCTAAAAATGCTTAACTTACTGAAATCCCATCAGTCTTCACAAAGTATATATAAATAAGCAGAAAATATTATCATCTCCATTTTATAAATAAAAACTGTAGCTAAGCATGAGACAGCATTTATAATGAACTTTTTCAAGGCTTTTAGCCTACTCACAGTTCTTAGATTTTAAATAACCCAGATTTTAGAATTTGAAGGATCCTTATAAAGTACCTCTTCTGAATGCCTCATTTTATGCATTAAGACACAAACTGGGCAAGATGAAATACCTTGCTCAGTGTCATAGAGCTAGTATAATACAAGACAAGATATTTCTTATGTTTCATAAATATGACTGTAATTTCTATTTTCAAGAATATTGTTAGTTATCATTTTCCAACTGAACTTTAAAAAGAGTATAGCACCTTACGTTCTTTTGCAAGTCTATTCTATTATAGATTACCAAATGTGGTGGTGATCTTGCATATCCTGGTTGTACCCACAAAGATTTCTGGATTGCTTGTATTGCTGAGGCATGTAATAATGTTTGAGATATAAAATATATAACCCATGTCTCTTTGTTGCATTTGAATAAGACAAATAAAGATGTAAGGTTTCCCTTTGAGATAATTTATGAAATTTTATATTGTATAAATGTGTATTTTCATGTTTTTCCTGAATATCTTATAAAGCACCATCAACAATCTTCCATTATACCTTCTTCAACATATAGGATATATAAGGGGAGGATAGTATACCTTTTTTGTACATAACCCCAAAAAACAATGATGCCTTAAATGAACTTAAGCCCTTATTCCCTATCTAGTAACACTCAATCTAGGGTATCACATCATCTCTATTATGTTGATATGAATCCAAACAATAGATCTTCTGTCAAATGTACTAATATACCAAGCCTAAAGCACTGCATTGCTTCAAAAGGAAGCAGGATTTTAGAAATAAGACTGCAGCACCTATATGACTCATTTAATCAGTGACTCCATGATGTCTTTATAGAAAGTAATAACTTGGTCCCCAAAACAATACCAGCAATAGGTAGAAAAATTTTAGGAAAAAGCATTTAAATACTTCAAAATATCATCCTGAAAATACTTAAGAATTGTTTTATCATGTAAAAAATAGATCTTTTTTATTACTAAGGATATTCCAATCACAAACATTTTCTTGCACACACCATATTCATAGAGGCATCTCTATATTTTGTACAGTTATTTACCCAAATATCAAAGACTTTCTCATATGCACACTCACCTGCTCAGAAAAGAAGTCACTGTGCTCTTCCAGATATTTACTGAAAGGGTTGGGTTCATAGACTTCCTCCTCTTTTTTCAGTAATATTTTGGATTTTATAGGTACGGGGCGAATTACTCCAGGCTTCGTCTTCATGAATATCAAATTTTTAAAAATTAAAGGAAAAAATACTATTAAAATGAATACATAGGTATATTAAGTCATTCATATGTTCTCACAGCAATTTTTTTATTTTAAAATTATTTTATAAAGACAGCTAGAAATCAAATGATTTTTTTTTTTTTTTTTTTTTTTTTTTTTTTTTTTTTTTTTT